TGTAAATGGGAATAACAAGGTATTAGCAGTGATGGATATGGATGCTACTGACTCTGTGTCAGAAACTCTGGACAACCTCCTGTAAGTCTTGACTATACACCCCTGAGGAAAATGTTTCAGGGATGCATTTCAAATTCCTCTTTCTGTAAAGGAAACACCTAAGGAAATGGATATTCTTTCCTGTATATGCATTTCTGGAGTAATTCCAGAGCCTGCCTTAGTCTTTATCCTGGGAATGGATGCTAGTGCTGGATGGGAGGCTAAACTTTAAGAGGCTCACTCTAAGAGGATCTTCTTTATTTGTTGTTGCTGAAAATCTGTTTGGGGTTGGTCTGAGGGGAGGGTAACCCTCTACAGCAGAAGAATTAAAAGATGTAGAAGTTAAATCTCCTTCCAGAAGGAATTTTTCTCCAATTATGAAGCTACTACTGCTAGGCATTACAGGTCTGTGACTTTCTCAGAGAGTAAGTTCTGTTTCTTTATTCTAAACACCCAAGAGACATTTAGCTTGGGAATGCGTTTTTCCTCATTCTTGAGATTTTTTTTAAAAGGTTTGTTATTGTTTGCTCAGCATTTTATCAAACTGAGTGTCCACGGCCCTTGTACAGTTTTCTGCCTAAAACTGTTACCACTGCATTTTTTCAATAGAGCAACTTCCTGTGGCAGATCACTGGTGCTGTTTCTTTCATTCATCATTTTAGATGATGAATGTAGTGATAACTTACCAAATCCTAGGATCTAGCTGAAATCTGTGTTTTTCTTTGGGGGTCTAGTTTCACTTTCTCTTGCCAATGTGATCCAAAGTAGCAGTTCTGAGACAAAACATACTCGTGCAAGTTGGACAAGCTACAAGAACTTATTTTTTTTGCAGTGCTATTAGATGAACATTTGAGAAATGAATATTCCATAGCATAATTCATTCCAACTTCAAATTGACCGCCCTCAAGCACTGAAGTACATGTATTTTTACACTACCATGGTAATTCCATGGTTTAGAGAGCCATAGGAATAATAATAATTAAACTACTTTTGTTTATTTGAGGGTATCTTTCCAGACCTGAAGGAATAAGAAACGTCTGAGAGGCCGTACAGTTCAATAGTCTCCCATGTGCATGAATCCACACAGATTTAATATTTCACTGATCAGAATTCCCATAAATTCTTATTTAATTAATTTGAAATTTTTGTAGGTTTATTATCCAGTCAAACACTGTCAAGTAATTGGCATTTTGAGGCTAATGTTGCCTTGTATTTTTCTTGTAATAATGGTTCTTCTTAAATGGTGGCAGATGTCTTCTTAAATATTCTCTCACCTGACAAAAGAGGTCTACTACTTTGACTCATGATGTAAAAGAGGTGGGAATAGCTTCTACTAAGGGCAAAAAAGAAAGCAAATGAAAATATGAGTGGAAGCTAAGCTTAGAAGAAGATTAAATTGAGGTTTGTTTTGTTGTTTTTCATTTATTAATAAACACTAGAAGAAGTTATGTTATTGTGAATTGATGTTTCTAGTAGAAGATGAAATTTGTAGTGTCCTCAAATGTAGAAATAAATCAGAAATGAACAGTTCAGCAGAAAGGTAGAGAATCAAATAATATATGAAATGACTGGTGGAATAACAGGGGCTGCAATGTGAAAACTTTATTTTACACTGGCAGTACTAAAAAAGATGCTCATTCAGGGTAGAGATGAGTCCTTTTTTTCCGGTTTTTGGAGGAGAAACTTGAACATGAAAAAATACCCCACTGCAAAGGAGTTGTGCTTGTGCATACGTGGTTTGCCTCAGTTCAGAGGTTCCCGTGTGTGCTGTGTCTGCCACGGGAGGGTCTGTAGTGAGAAGTGTTCACACTGTTTTCACCTCACTGTGGAGAATTTATTCAGGCTCAAACCCCTGGTGTAGACAGCAGAAGCCACTCAAGTCTCACACACTGCTGGGGACCGCCAGACACATCCCTGCTCCTTTCCTGCCTGAGGAAGTAGGCAGCCCAATACACGTCACCAGATTAGTCTGACCAGTAGGATAGTGAAGACTGATGAGGTAGGAAAAAAAAATCCTTAAAAATATTTCCTCTAAGAAATGTTTGACTATAGTGCTTTTTTTTTCCCCAAGCTTACAAAATTCTTTTCTATGACTTTGACTTTGTGGTGTCCAATTGATAAGTTTGGGAATCATAATGAATGTTTACATTTTCTTTTTGAGAAAAAACATTCAGTCATTCAGAGACTTTATCATTATTTACTGTTTGTGATAGTTAACATTTTTCATTGTGTTAACTTCTAATTAAATGATGATTAAAATAAAAATCCTAGCCAGTCCTGAGAATATCAGTGTTTGCTCTGAATATAACTAATATGAGCTGAAGCTTTATCAGTGATTAGAGCATATATTAGTGGTTTGAGGTTTTTTTCCTCAGAATCACTAAATTTTTCATACACTTGCATGAGCTGTTAGAACTCTGCTACATGTAAGAAATTGTCAGACTTGAAAAGCAACAATGCAAAATACCTAGATCATGACTTCCTTTGGATTTTTTTAATGGACTCTAGCATTAATTGTCTTAGCAGAAATACCCAGTGGCTAACATTCTACTGTTTCAAAGTATTTCTGCCAAAATGTCATTGCCCAGGGAATCAAGCTCCTCCCCAGCAGATAATTCTTCACTATCTAACAATTTTTGTGAAGCAAATGCTGCAGCTTGAGTTGGTGACTCAGTAAAACACTGCGAATTCGAGTCATTACTCAGCCACTTATTTGCTGACTCCACTTATGGTAGTGGCCAGCAACCTGTTCATCTGCCAAACTAACAAAAAATCAGACAGGCTGGATTATACAATTGCAATTCTATAGAAGTGATTGCAGCAGCCAGCTCTAGTTGGTACTTGTAGATATCTCTCATAATTACAGGGCAATCACTCTTACATGCCCCCACAATTAATTTTGAGAGTTAGTGAGCTGTTCTTTTAGAATTTCCAAGGAACTCTAGTCTGTGGGGGGGGGGTTTCTCTATTTAAAGAATTTCAAATACCCTAAAATTCTACTGACAGTCCCTTGGCTGCATCCTATCCATTAAATTGTTTCGAGTGATCTCTTGAGAGTGAGTGGATTCATAAAGTAATACTGTTCTGATACTTGACAAATACATGTTGTCAGAGAAGAACAACCCTGGGCAATCATATAAAATCTCTAAATGCTCCAAAATATCACCCCATAATCAGCAAAGTGCTTTTTCATTCCCTGGTGTGTGTGAGTTTGGGACTATTGACTGTGATACCTCAGAAGGCTTCTCTCCATACTAATCATGTCAGTGTGCTTTACTGTACTATTCTGGCCAAGGAGAGTCAATTCTTACAGTAATTTGGCAACATTTGAGTTTCAAGTCCAACTATTGAACTCCCAATGTTTTGCCAGGTTTTTGATTTTGCGGGTTTTTTTTGCTTAGTAACTTACTATTATTCCGTAATAGATCAAGTATTATATTGGGGCTGGAAATATCTCTTCTTATTACCAAGGAAAACAAAACAAAGAAAAAGGAAACACAATCATAAGTTGGTTCCATCTCATATCCCTAGTGATTCCTTATTGGATGTAAACTTTCTTGACTCAACCCCATTTGTGTTCCTGTCTGATGTCTGCAAACATTCCTTCTCACCATAAAATAGTGCCCTGCTTCAACAAACATACTTATTTGGGAAACTGAAATCCTGCTGAAGTAGATTGGGAGCTGCAAGTCAAAAAATTTTCTAGATTTTATTTGTCTGATTTGTTATTGTGAAATATGCTTCATGAGCTATCTTTATTATTACAAATTACTTGTTTCCTGAAAATATGGGGAGCTAATAGCTGTTGCTTTGTTACAACAAAACCTTGTAAACAATTTAAAAAATTGCAAAAAAAAAAAAAAAAGTATTAGAAATTCTACCTGTAGAAATTCCACCTGAGAACAGAAAGTGTGATACTGATGTAGGAGTAGTAGGAGAATATCACAGTTGCAGTTGGGCATGACTGTCACCTATAGTATTTCTCAGGAAGTTCTCCTCTATGGCCGTGTCCTTTTGGCTAAACTTTGTGTTCTATGAAATCTCCACTTAACATTATAACTGTGTCATATTTTTAAGTGTTGGATAAGCCTCTTCAACTTCAGACATCTGTCCCTAGAAACAGAAAGAGTTTAACAGTAACTCTCAGCCTCCTGCTTGAGTTGTCTTTCATATGTAGATGGTGAAGATCTACAGGCACACACAGGAGTGCTTGTCCTGGGCATGCACTTAGTCTGTGCCTTAGGGCAGAGATTTAGTCTGCCCAGAGGGCATGAAGAGAGATAGTCTGAGCACTATCACTCTCCTGTGGCCAATGATAAGCATTCTACATGTTTCTCTTGAGTGGAACCAAGATCAGAAGATCTCTTTTCTCCCTAAATTGAAGAAATACGTTGAAACCTGATGTGCAGAATCAGCTAATGCTTCATGCCACCTCTGTCCAGTGAACTGAAACCGGATGGAGCAGAGATGCTCCCGGGATCCTCACTGGCTGTCATCCTTTCTGCCGCCGTGCTGGCTGATGAGATCTCAGCCTGGACCCAAACAAAGTGCGTGCAACTCATGACCTCTTGTTCTTTGTTGCGAGAAAACAGCCTGAGGCAATTTTGGCAGAGCTGCCACTGGGAAAGATGTAGAACAGACCTCCAGCTGCTTTGCTACCGCACATGCTGCTTCCACAATCCACATTTCAGCCCCTTCTCTCTCATGGGAGGCTGCAGTAGGAATGAAGAGGAGGCATCTTTCCTGTCAGTGGAGGTGGTGGGATGGTTAGAGCTGGTACAGTTCAGATGGGGCCGGGGCTGGGCTGGGCTGCACTGACTGCAAGTTTAACTACGTAAGTGTCATTTAGAGAAATTGCTTTGTCTCATTTAAAATGAAAAAAAAATGTAATTGAAAAATGCAATCACATGTCTGTAATTGTTCCATATTTCTTAGAGATAGTATTTCTTTTTCAAATGTAGCTTGCTGATGATCAGGGATTGGTGTTGATGACAACTGTTGCCATGCCAGTATTTAGTAAGCAAAATGAGACTGTAAGTATTCAGACTATTTCTGTCATGTGACAATGACGTGACTGCAATGAAGTTGCTTTCAGGGACTTAATAAGATTTTAGCCAACTCTAAAAATTTTCTTCTCTTCTTATTTTGTCTGCAGTTAGTATCCCTTTATTAGCATAAAAATGTGGAAAAATAATCCCAAATAACTATACTCTAGAAACCATAGTAAAATGGTGAAACTCTATGTCTAAGAGAAAAATCTCAGATGACACTAGGCCTTTGGGTTTTCTTACTTCTGTATTGCTTTTTTACAGAAAATAATCTATATAATTTTCAACTTTGCACTGATATAGCACTGAATTTATTTAGATTATGTTTATATATATTCAATAATTTAACAGATTATATTCAATAATTTAACAGATTATTAAAGAAAGTTAAGTGTACTTTCCCCTTAATGCTTCATCTTTCTCTTTTGTTTATGAAATGGCAGGAGATATTGGGAAAGAAGGGAGCAACATTTTTAACAGTAGTTTTAAATTGAAAACCTGTTTTGCATGTGAAAATTTTCTGTTGAAGGACTTGCTCTCAAAAGCTTGCATGCCTTTTGTATGTGAATTGCAGATAAAGTAGAAAGGAGCAATATTATTGATTAAATTACTGCTTGATTGGCTGAGTTCTCCACTTTTTAAATAATTTGTCTGTAATCTCTTAACTTCTGCAGTGTAGCTGCGAGGTGAAATAAGTGGTGAGAATGTTTATTATTACTGTGGTTCTGAGTACATATTTTATTGTTCTTTTCAGAGGTCTAAAGGGATTCTTCTGGGAGTAGTTGGCACAGATGTTCCAGTTAAAGAGCTTTTAAAAACCATTCCAAAATACAAGGTAATACACAAATGATGAGATATCATTTATACTCTGTATAATACCCAAAATATAACATAATTTATTTCATATGTTGATACTTTTTGCAGTGATGTAGCTCCATTATTTCATTCATTTTCCTCAGGAATTGTAGTTCTGTAATGTCTGAGATCAAATGCAGTTTTTAGCACCAAAATTAATATATGGCTTGATCTTCACATTTTTGGATCAATGTACTCTAGAAGGTAATACTAAGTATTGCCTATAATAAAATCAGTGAAATTATTCAACCACACAATCCAGCCAGAATACCATGCAAAATAAGCAGAAATTCAGGCTGAAAAATTCTGTAACTTTTTATGAAAACCTATCCTTAACCTGGCTTTAGGCTTCCTGTTTGTGTGTAGTAATTCCTGTCCAAATTCTGTGGCTCCTGGAGTTAAAGCAAGTGGCACATTGTAGGAACTTAAACAAGTTCCTTCCTAACCAGACAAGTGGTTCCTTCTCTCCTCCCCTGTATTTGTTAGGTATTTCCCTCTACTTAGTTTTCCAAAGTCAGAGACAACTGATACTATAAAATTCTTAAAAATTAATTATCATTAAAGTTTTATTTGATATACTATATCTCTTGAAATGTGTTTAACTCAGTAAAAATAAGCTTCAGGCAAACAGAAAGATATAATTACTTTTCATTTAAATTCAATGCAATACATTAGTATGTCACTACTTTATGTCTGAAATGTTTTACTATGGTGCTCTTTTATTCACAAGTGAAAATTAAATTAATGTTTTCCACTTAATTCCTAGTGGAATTTTTTTACATGACAAACAAGCATGTAACATAATACTGCAGACAGCCCTTTTAAAGAGTGCAGATACTGGAATAGCTACTTTTTGACATGCATGCATACTGAGCATGAATTTGTATATCATACTTTCCTCTAAATTGGCTGCTGTGCTCTCATTTACTGATTTCTAAGAGGGTGAAGGAAGAAGCTGACTTGTGACTGCCTTTGAATATTGTCACATGTGTTTGTAGATAATTCTAGTTAGGACAAAAAAATTCCTCATATGAATTTTAATTCTAATTTGAATACATTAGCAATTACCAAATTATTTTCTGATTAATGTGCAGTAACTAAAAAATCTAAATGAAATGAGAATTTGATTAAAATAATGCATAAAATAGTGGCAATAGTGTTGATAAGGTGTACTGGAGTAATTTCCTGTGACCTGGATCCCACGAGGCCAGGTGCTATGCAAACAGAACAGAAAGGCTGTCGCAGCTGGAGAAAAGTTGGACACTATGGGAAGAGGCAGCAGATGAGTGCACACTGATATCAGAACACAGGGACAGAGACATTGCTGGTCAGGATCAATAACAGGGAACGACCTCAGTGCACTGACCAAAAAAGTTTGATAACAGCAACTTATATGTTTGTGTGCAGAAATACTGCATCAGTAAAAGGTAGAAGAGAAGGGAGCAAAATGTGCTCCTTTGCAAAATTGGAAGCAATGGAACCAATCTTTGGAGCAGCCTTCTAATGAGCTATGGGAAGAGCAAGTTTCATTTGTAATGAGAAGGAAGAACAGTGCTGTGGTACCTGCAGAAATAAAAACTTGGCTGTTCGTGGCTGGGTAGGAAAAAAATAAATCACAGTGACATTATTCCTAAGTAATCTCTAAGATTTGGACATAGTCTGAATGCAAGAACTGGTAGAGGTATTGCAACAGAGTTAGTAATTCAGAAAAGGAAAAATTTTTTAAGAAGTGGGTTTCTGCGAAAGCAATATGAGATCCTCTTGCTGAATATTAAACTTTTTATTTGAAGGTACATTTTATACTGCAGGAGGTACTGCAAGGGAGGATTATTGCAGGAGGCACCAATATCATGCAATACAGTTAGATTAGTGAAATCACTTGAGTTACAACTTCCAGTCTCACATACCATAAACAAAGACTGCAATGGCAAGAGCATAATCACCCCTGGGACCCATTCCTGTAGAGGCAACACACGAAATAAAATTCACACAGGGATATAAAATGATTGCTTAGAAATAGAATTCTGCTGACCTGGAATTCTCTCGGCTTCGATGAGGGGGATTTTATGCCAGAGAGGATGGGTAACAGCAACAAGCTATTTTCAGCAAGTTGTTATCTAGACTAAACTTCCCCAGATGTCAGTGGCAGTTTCTCTTGAATAAGATAGGTTTGAATTTAGTAATACAGGACTTCCATGTGGCATTTTACAGCAGTTAGAAAAAGTTTTTTTTGTTTCTGAATCTGCAATTTAGAGACAGAGTTCAAGGTTTAAAAGGGCAGTGCTGCTGTAAGTGGTAGTATCTCTCAAACCAAAGCATTTTAAGTGCAGAGACTGTGTAATTTCACATATTGCCCAGAACCCAATAAAATACTGCCCTTGGAGTCTGGGTACTTTTTCCTGTGAATTATACCACCCACATTTGTTTCCTTACCTGACTTCCATTGCCTGGATGTCATTCTGCAGTTACAAACACAGACAATTATACTTGAGATCTGCTATTTAGCCAACAGCTTATTCCCTTGTCATACTATAATAGGTAAAATATGTCCACTGTTATTATTTTGGTTATCCCCCCCTTATGAAGAGATGCCAAGAACATATCACCTTCTATTACTTTCACTGAAGTTTATTGCTTTAGGAAAACCGCTAATTTATGAAACAATCTTCTATATGGCAGATACAGTCGACCATATACAATTATTCACACAGAGACACTATAAATCAACCTGGTATGCTTTCCCTGTGACCTCGCCACAATATCGTACTCTGGTTTATACTTCCAGAGAATTACAGAAGCTGCTAGGCTTGCTCTCCTTTTTGCCCCTTCAAAATGATTCTGACTTGTCAGCCTTGCCCACATTGCTTCATGTTAGACAAATTCCTAAGGACCCACTTCAGCAAAGCATTTAAGAACGCACTCAAGTTAAATAGAAAGGTTTTTTAATAGTGAGAATTTTAAAGTAAACAGCAAAGGAAGATAGTTCTGGAATTTTGAGTTTGATTTTTATTTTGGTTTTTTTTGTTATTAATAGCCCAGTGCATTAGGTTGATTAAAAAAAATGGGATGTTGTATTATGTTACTTCAGAATTGAAAAAAAACAGGTGAGAAAGGATAGTGAGATGTGCTCTGCATGGCAAAAGTCACCTAGTGAACCTGCAGAAAGATTCTACATTAACAGCAAGTTTATGCTAAGAAGGGATGTTTGAATGACCACATGAATGATTTGAAGGTACATTTATTGCATTCAGTGGATGCAATCAACTGTGTAATAGGCATATTGTTAAAAAGACTAGTATTGTTATTTAAGTAAGTACAATGCTAAATTTGATTACCTATACTGCTAGACCTCATAAAGTATTTCATTGCCCTCAAATAATCTCCAGTTCCATTTAGTACAAATATGTAAAGTTAGAGGAGTTTCTTTAGTAGAAATATGCCTTCTGTGGCTGCAGATGAACTGGAATTAACAGAGAGCCTATTAGATTGGAAAATGTAAATATCACATATGACAGGTCACTGCTTGCTTACTATAGCTGTGCATTCATTATCTTTGATTTAAATGGTTCTTAAACAACAGCTGTTGAACAGGTGAAGTAAGCTGTGCCTCACCACTCCTGGGAATAGCTGAATTTACTAAATTCCTGTACCTCTGTGCTTTGGCACATGCTATGGTGTGTGTCACAGGCTGTGGCATCTCATACATATAACATACATGTAATATATAATATATATGTATAATATATGTATGTGTAATATATAATATATATGTATATATGTATAATATATGTATGTATAATATATAATATATATGTAATATATAATTCATTGTAACACAACAAGGGTTACACAACACGGAAACAAGTGCCCTGCATAGGAGAGTGTTTGTGACATTTTAAAATTGTGCTACATGCTGAATTCGTCACAAGGTCACCTCCTCATTTTCACAAAATGTCAAGGATCTTTGCCTATGTTGTAATAAAACACTGTGTGGATAAGGCTTATGAATTGCTAATTAGTATTTCTTTCTCATTTACTTTTACAGTTAGGTATTCATGGATATGCTTTTGCAATTACAAACAATGGATATATTTTGACTCATCCAGAACTTAGGCCTTTGGTAAGAATGCTATTTATTGATCTATTATATTTTGCTATATGTGTTGCATTTGTCTTTTTTCTTAGTGTGAGTAGTGTAATATACATGAAAAAAATTAAATACAATAGTCCAGTTACTTTATATGGCTTTATAACACATTATAGTTCTTGGTAAATTTACATCTGGAAACAAAGGTTAGCATGAAAAAAAACAGGGAAAATAAATATACAAGTTGCTTCTGCAGAAGATGCAGACCTCCATTACTGCAAAATAGCAAAGCCAAAAATTGCTATAATTATGTTCATTTTACAGTGAAATGGAATGTTGGAATGCTCCAGCACTGTGTAATAACCCCTATTTGTCATGCTAAAGTGTTAAAGTTAATTTAATATATGTGCAGAAATGTCACTAAAGCATATTTTTAAGCGAAATAGGAGCACTAGAGATTTTTGTACTAAAAGAGAAATAGCAGCAAATTTTACCTTTAGTTTCCTTATCATCTTGTTTGCATTAATCACGGAAAGAAAAATAAAGTGCCTGTTATGCAAATGTTTATCAACTTGACGCCCCAGAGAACTGGTACATTCCTGGTTGCATCATTGTTTAGGAACAGCACTTGCAAGTGTTCCATCACTATCAACTCCCAGCGAAGCCTTGGTATTAATAGTTCCACTACTGTATCCACATGGCTGCCATATGGATTTCTCTTGCAGGCACTTCAAGTAATGTCTGATTTCAACGATATTTTAGTGGAAAACAAACATTAACTGGGTGGATAATGTAATATGAAAATTAAATTAATGAAAAGCATGATTTATTAAGTCATTAGCACATCTGATGTTTTCATCCAGCAAAAGAATTTGTCTTTCTGAGATTTGGACTAGGAATTACACACTTAATTAACATTTGTATTTGCACTTATTGTTTCCCCATTTATTTTTTAGCTGGAATAGAGCTTATGAAAAGTGGAACAGGGAAACTTCAGTAGATGAATGGAAAAGTATTTTCAGAGTAACTTGACCGTAAAATGGACAGACAATCTAATGGCAAAGCAGACCATAGTATCTTGGAAGCAATCTTAAAATAAATGATTTAATTGTCATTTTTCTTCCAAGAATATCACCCATGATTCTGGAATGGTAGATTTTTTTTACAACTGTGGAAAGGAGGACAATACCTGTAGAAAATTTGGCAAATTACTGACCAATAAACAATACAATTCTCAGAAATGGCTCTTGCAAATTATCCCATTGGCTTTTTCACCATTTGGTGGTGAGTCACTAAGTCTACATATCCAGGTATAGACAGCTCAGACCCCAGTCCAATTAACATGCTCCAGTGACTGTTCATCTCTACACTCCCCACAGGTGATTTGTCATGATGATAAATTTATATCTTCTTGTTTTATGGAAATTAGGACCTCTGCTACCCAAATATATAAATATTAGGGAGTGAAAAACTTCCAGCTTCTATAGAAGCAGTTTACTTTAAGGAAGGCAGAAAACTAAATCAATATGTAACCATTTCACCCCTCAGTAAAATGAGTTTTGTTACCATGAGATTTTACATATTGAGAAGTGCGTATGTGTAGGTTTTATGAGATTAATTCAGCATATCTGGACACATCTAGTCCAGAATCTCATTTCCATGATTAGTTCCTGAGGAAGATGTAGGAACTAAGAGGATGTGGAGAATCTCTTTTTCAGTGTAAAATCTCAGCAGTCAATGTAACTGTTAAGAGTTTCAGTAGGTTTCTCCTCATAAACCTTTGATTCTGACATTTTAACATTTCGACTTATTATAGTGGATACTTCCGTTACCCATACTAACATATTCATTTTTGTCAGTCAGCTTGACTTCTCATAGTAGTGATTTTTCATATTCTAACCATTCTTGGAGCAGTTTTTAATTTGATTTTTATATTTCATTAGAAGTATTTCTTATATTATGAATAGGGAAAGCAGAAGTTCCTGATCTACCTTTTCTTTTCCATTTCTTACTTTGTGTAGTGATTTGTGGTTGTTATCTCATTGAATCTGCTCGTCACAATAAGAAACCAATATTTTCAGTCTTGCTGTAATGTTTTTCTACTCGTATTTTTCTGCATTGCAGTATTTTGTTGTCATGTTTTCTGTATTTTTCTGACCTCTTGTTTGTCCATTTCTCCACATTCTTTCCTTTTCTGACTGAGATTGCCTGCTGAGCTTTATTTGGTAACCATAGCAGAGGCGAGGCAGCAATAGGGGCTGCACAAAACCTTAGAGCACTTGCATTATATGTAAAGATTTTTAATGCCCCTTCAGGTCTCTTCTGCAGTGTCTTCAGTGCTTTGTTTCCTCAGCTAATTTGTCAAAAGTGACTTTTTGTGTAATGTTATCTCACATCCAACTGCACCATAGATATAAACTAAAAGTTGCTTAAGAGAACCAAAGTTATGGGCACACTGATTAGATCTGCATCTTGACTGTCATAACGTTCTATATATTTTCCTACATTTTGCTAATTGAAAATATGTATTAGACTTTTTATAGTCATTCAGCTCAGTGGTCAAAATGCTGAAATAAGTGTTGAGATTTAATGTAAACTTTAGTAGTAAATTCTCTTTTTTTTGTTGCTATTGTGCAGGAAATACCAGTGTAAGGAGTTGTTGTCTTCAAAATGTCTACCTGTTGCAATGAAAAGTGTGACAGGGGATTGGTTTTAGTTCATGATTGACCACTACCATCAGACTATTTTTTTCTTATCTCTGTATGTATTAAAATCCACGGGGTTTTTAATATCCTATTCCAAATTGGATATATATGCATGGGGTCTTATAGCATTCCCCAGTTTTCGTAATACAAAAATCATGACCTGGTCTTAATTCCTAAAAATGCTTTTGAAACTTCAGATATCACAGGTACATTTGACATCTCATGTTTGCAAGCCATATTTGAAAGTTCCCTATTCACAAGTTAGTTCTTTCAGAATTATTAGTATTTATTCATATTTTAAAAACCAGATGGTAATGAAATCCAGGAGCAGTGAATAGCTTAGGCTAACAGAGGGTGTTACCCTCTCCCTTATTTTTATTATGTTTTAATGAAGCAAAAGGTGATTTGCTATTACTATCCCTCACCCCAGCATACATCTTGAAGGCACTTATTTCATTACCTTATACAACCATACCTTTTAAAATCAAAATGTTGGGCAGTAGCCCATAAGCTGTCAGCTAGAGGAACTCATTGTGATATATTCATGGTCTGTTCATTTTTTGGAAGAGTCATTTTTACCTCTGGATTCTGTCAGTAGTAGGTAATGAGAGTCTTCTGTTGACTTCAGTGGAGTTTTTGAGAGTGAAGTGATTGCTGGCCTGGGTCCTTAGTTTAATATTGCAGGCCAAATCCTGATACCATTGTAACTAATGACAAAACATCTCATGAAATTTGTGACAAGAAGTGTGTGAAAATAGGCATGTAGGTCTGAAATTAGATAGTTCCCTAAAGATATTATCTAAAATTATTTGTATGTCTTAGAGTTATGTTCAAGTTTAATTGATTAGTGACTTGGTCCACACTGGTTTATACTTCTATTATATTTTCCTACAGTGCTATAAAACTAGAATATTACTGGACTCTCAAATTCCTAACCCCAGTGGCTATATCTGTTAGTTCTGATGCTGATGTACTTGTTTTTTAAGGAATTGCCTTCTGAAACACAGAGCAGAGAGGCAGGATAGCAAACAGCAAGGAGTGCTTCCTCTGGCACGGGATTTTTATCTAACACTGACCGAGTACATGGAATCACTAAGCTGGCTATATTATCTTAGCGATTATCCTCTTGGATTTATATTTAAAAAGGCTTTTCTTGGAAATTTCCTCTCTTGTTTCTCCTACTGTTTTGGGGGTTGTTTTGTTTTGTTTTTTTTTGAATAAGCTTGGCTTTTGGCGAGGACGATCAGTTGGGTGCCCGTGGGCAGCTGGTGGGAGGGATCGCGGGAGGGAGAGGAACGTGCAAAGTACTCGCAGAGGTTGTGACTGTTGCTGGAGCAGCCCCCAGACCTTTCCCATGAAGTGTCGGAGTGCCCGTTAACCTCACAAAAGCTCTGGTTTTGTCTCCGTTCCACCCGTGTCCCTCGTCCCCCGCAGCGCCCCGGCACAGGCTGCACTGCGGGGCCGGCCCAGGCGGTGGCGCTCCAGCACCGCCGAGGGGCGCGGGGGGAGCGGGACGAGCTGCGGTGACACAGCCCGGGAACCCATCCCGGCTGGAATCGAGGTGGAAAATTGCCTTGGGCATCCCTCGGCTGTGTTTCAAAGCCTTTTTGCTTTCTTTCTCTCTCTCCTTTTTTTTTTTTTTTTTTCCCCAATCATATATCACGAGAGTACGCTTTGCACGTCCTCGGGTATTACACCCTAAGTCGCCTTTCATAGCAAGAGTACTCCAGTGGGAGCTCCAAAAACTATAGCCAATGCTAATAACATTTTTTTTTTTTTTTTTTTTTTTTTACTGTGGCTGCATCAGAATGCTCCAATCTGCTGAATTTGACGAAAAGTCTATACTTTTACAGCGCAGTGTTTTATTTTCCACGTGAGAATATTTTCGGTTGTGTGATGCAATGTTGAAAACCGCAGTTTACTGTTAAAAAAAAAAATAAATGTTTGGGAGTTCAAAAACGAATTTTGAGATTTTCAAGGCAGTAACTTGGTTTCTGAGGCTCCCTTACCCATATTGAAATGTAGACACAAGGACACAGGTTTTCCTCAGCAGCGATTATGGCAGATTGAATCACCTGCTTTTCAGTAGCCTCTTAACACTTGCAGTGTGCCAGGTGTTACACCGTTAAATTTTAAAATGTAAAATATGTCATCACGATGTTACAGTTTGCCAAAGAAATTAATTTACTGGATGTAAAGGAAAGAGTAAGAAACAAATATTTTTAATGTCCACTTAATAACAAGCGCCACATTAATTGTAGCTGCTTGTTCGTTGCTGCAGCTGTCACTGTGCAGTCTGTTAAAGGCTGGTGCCAGAGGAGAGCTGCT